GCGCGATCGACTTCAGGCGTGCTCGAATCGGCTCGATCGGAACCAAGTCAATATGAAAAGCACATCAACACATTCCAAGATTACTTACAATATTTTTGAACATAAGGTTGTAGAGTTCTTTTGTGATACTCTCTGGAAGTTGATATCCTATTGGCACTTATTGAGTATATGCTAATCCACTTTCCAATTTCTCTTTAATATTATGTTTATTCAGTTTTGCATGCTTATTATGATCATATTGTCTGGATTATGAATAATGATGATAGTAGATTTATTGTCATAATATATCTTCCTTGACTATTTCCTTTTGTTTTTTAAAAATTCCAAAATGATTTTTAACTAAATAAACTTGCAAATTCCTTATGCAATGACTCTAAATTCAAATTTAATGCAAGATTTTGAAACAATGCGTTGTTTTTGTCCTCGATGTTATGAGATTTATTCCAAAAAATGTCTAGTACTTGGTCACTAATATTCTGTCCACTGTTGTTGTTGCATAATATATCCTAGTTTACCCTTCAATCTGTAATATTTCTCATTTTTTTATACTAAATACTTTTAGCAGGACTTGATTTTAGGTATCTAAGAATTTTATAAGTAGCTTGAAGGTGAGACTCTTTCTATTTATATATGAATTGATTGATGAGACTCAATGTGACGTGAAAAAGATCGTTTTTCAAACTAATCTTTGATAAAGACCCATGTCTACTTTTCATTTGTCTTCTACTTTCAATTTTTGACCTGGTTTAGTTGGGATTTCCCAAGGTTTGTAATTAGTCATTTTTTTTCTTCTGTTGAACCATGATATATTTTTGTTGTTAGAGGAATATTCCTTATTTTGATTAACTTCTATTCCCAATAAGTATTTTAGTTTACCTAACTCTTGCTCTCAAACAAGCTTTTTCTTATGTGACTCATTTTTTCTATTGTCATCACTTATAATAATTTTAACATTAACATATATGATGAGAATTCTGATTTTACCATCAACGGAGCATTTTATGGAGAGGGCATGTTCTCCTTGATTTTATTTGTGTCTAGTTTCTTTCCTAATTTTTTTGAATTTACCAAACCATACCCTTGGAAATTGTTTTAGGCATATGACCCGTTTTTCCAATTTGTGCATTTTGTTCTTTGTGAAAGAACTATCAAATCCACATGATATATTTTTGTTGATAGATGAATATTCCTTATTTTGATTAACTTCTATTCCCAATAAGTTTTTGAGTTTACCTATCTCTTGGTCTCAAACAAGCTTTTTCTTATGTGACTCATTTTTTCTGTTGTTATTGCTTATAATAATTATAACATCAATGAGCATTTTATGAAAAGGGGATGATCTTCTTGACTTTATTTGTATCCACTTTCATTCTTAATTTTTTTGAATTTGCCAAACATACCCTTGGAAATTGTTTTAGTCCATATGACCCTTTTTTCCAACTTGTGCATTTTGTTCTTTGTGAAAAAAATATCAAATTCATGTGGTGGATTCATATAATCTTCTTGAACATCTGAATGTAATAAACCATTTTTACATCATATTACGGCATATGCCATTCACCATTAGCTGCAATAAAACTTAAGAATTGTATTTTATTCTTTTTTGCAACATGAGCAAATGTTTATTGGTGGTAAAATAAAAAATATTGAGTATATCATTTGACTACCAATCTTGTTTTATATCATTACTGAATTTCATTTGCTCAAATTTTTACCAAAAAAAATTAATTTGCATATTACTATTTTTTTCCCTTTTGGTAGTTCAATTATTTCAGAAATATGATTTTTTTTCCAAGAGTTTTTTTTTTCTTTTGTTATAGCTTCCTTCCAATTCTTGTTTTTAGGTGCCTCAAATAAAATTTGTGGTATTGTAATGGAATTAGAGTAATGTTTATAAGGAAGGTCTTATGTGTAGTAAAATAATTAAAAAGATTTGTTTTAGGAGATGGGATATAGAGGAGAATGTATTGTGATGGTTTGATCATTATTACTTATTAATGGTTTCGAGTCTAGAGCTTATTGAAGATTTTGGCTGGGCTTATTCCTTGTTTTATAGACTTTAATGGGCATTGTGTTTGGATTTGTTGGAGTTTGTGTTGTAGCAATTTCAAGAAGAAATATAATGGTTTTATCTAACTTACTTTTTAGGGAGTTCTCTCCATCAAGATGAGTTTGATTATAAAAACTTTGCTTTTCATTAAAGGTGACATCTTTTAAAATAATTTTTTTTGGAGATAGGATAAATACACTTGTCCCCCCTTTTTAAGGAGTAATGCACAATAAAGAAATATTTGTGAATTCTAGGGAAAAGTTTGCCCTTGTGTTGTTTGTGGATGTGGATATAGGTATTACACCCATATATTTTTAGAAGAATTTTTGATATTATGTTATTTGTGGGGAAATATTTAGCCAAATAATTTATAAGACTTTTGAAGCCAATCATTCTTTATGATATTCTATTGATTAGATATGTGGTAGTTAGGGTTATTTTTTCTTAGTTTTTTTTTTACACTTGATTTTGGGAGAGAAAAGTCCCAGTGACTTTCGAAAGAGGTCAATTTTCTCTTTTTGTCATATCATTTTTGGGGAGCATCAGGACAATAAAATTGGTAGATGATATATTCATTGTGAAAAAAAGATAATAATGTATGATTAAATAATCGCAAGCTTTATGTGTCTGAATTACCTGCATGGAATTATTTTTGTGTCATATTAGTAAAAATGAGGAGAATAATATTAATATTGGATTTTTTATTTTTGTTTGACAAAATATACCCATGTCATTCGAGTGCAATAATTAATTAAGGTGATAATTTGTGTAGCTTTAGAAATGTAAGGGATTTTGGAGGGTTCTCAAATGATATAGTGAGCAATTGAAAAATGAGTAGATGATCTAGAATCATTTTCAGGAAGAACAACACAATAATGTTTGGCAATTTTACTGGTCTCATAATGAAATGAAAACTTTTCTTATTTATATATAAAAAAGAGAAAAATATATATATTGTAGAGTTTTGACAGAGGGATTTCCTAGCCTATCCCAAATGTTTTTTGTTTTGATGGTGGAAATAAAGGGAAATGACAATTAGTTCCTGTCTTCAAGAAGATATAACATATTCTTTTATTTTACTTTCACACTATGCTTTCCTATATTGAGATTCTAAAATAGGCAATGATTAGAAAAAAATAATTACCTTGAAGTTTGGTTTTTAGTGATTTTATGTATTGGTAGAAGATTAATTGCGAGATGAGGTATCTACAAAATATTGTTTTGGATAAATGTAGAGGATGTTGAAACATTTTTTTGATTTGTAATAATTGATAGATAACTAGCAGATACTTTTATTTTTATTTTATTGTTGTGGTAGAGTTTGTAGTTTTGAAAAATGTTGGTGGTGTTGTTTAAATGGTAGGTGGCTCTTGAATTTACGATCTACGTGTGAGGGGGAATTATTAAAGTCACTAAAATATAAGGGTTAGAAGTAATTCCATTTTGATCTAGAGAGCATGATTTGGATAATTTTTCTAGAGAGTTGAGGAGGTTCTTAAGTTTGCCAATTTATACTAAATTCAGCTCTTTTCATTCCACAGGGTAGATCTACTCTTTTTAGTGACAATTATTTCCACCATAGCTTTGGGGCTTTCCATGCAGTTTCTAGTATTTTGCTTTGATGTGTCACTCCCTCTTGCAATAGTTATACCATGGATTGCCTCCGAAAGAAGGCTTTTTCCCTTCTTTAAGGAAAGAGCATGTACCAGTAGGTCCTTTACCATGGGGATTGGAGCATCGACATTACCATTATTCTCTTTTTTTTGGCTCTTATGAGAGAAAAAATCACATTTAGTTATGGTCAATTTTTTTCTGCTTAAGATTTGGACACAAATTTGGTTGACATCATTGTTGAGTCTCGTAAGGAATTCAAATACCGTTTCTTTTTCTACAAACTGCTCGAGAATTATTGCATCATTAGTAATAGTCTAGTTCAAATTAATAAACCTTTATTACATTAAAGTACTCAATAAGAAGAATGTTATCTTGTATGGTTATTGAAATCTTAATTTTGATCTTGTAAATTAGGACAACATACTTCATTTTTGAGTATATTTGTTTGACAGCATCCCACGCCTCTTCTACAGTGGAGAGAAGTTTATATGGCTCACTGATTTTAACATCATAGCATTTCAAAACTTTTTTGGTCATGGAATCCGCTTAATCTTGAAGTAGAAATTCTGTGTCTTTTGGCGTTAGAGGAGGATTCTCAAGAGGATAGATTTTTACCTTTCCTTCACAAAGGTCTTCATAGTTTGTGACCATTTAAGATAATTTTTCTCATTCAAGCAATATGAGATTTATAGCCCTTGGAGTTATCCTTTAGTATGATTATCATCATTTATGATGGTCAATTTCTTTTATAAGGGAAGTCGAAGAAACTTGCAATAATGATGAGAAGGAAGAATCTCAATAAGAAGAGAAAGAAAAAAAGAATTAAGGTTGAAAGATGGAAATCCTAACCTCTGTGATATCACATAGAAAAGTAAATATGAAAATCACTTGGAAATTTATTGCTAGATTCTGTACGAAATATGGAAGTATTTATTTTCTTCTCCAAAAGGCTTACAATGGAATTGAATCAAAGCTATTTTTTAAAGAAAGGCCTTAAATGGTGCCGGTGGCTAGAATAGGCAGAGGAGGCAAACGAATTGTAATTGATGGGCTATAAGAGGATCAATTTAAGGGTTAAACGGTTAATCTATGTATTCAGGAATCCCTATCAATATCAGTTTATTTGTGGGTCCTATGATCCTTCAGCATCTGCCTTACCTGCAGTATCTACTTGTTTGCAGATTTTTTCTGCTGTATGATTGATGATTATGCTTCCACTTATTTTCTTTTGGATTGATTTTGATGCGTTATTTAAAGTTTTTAACTAATTACTCTTAAATTTAATTAATTAACTTTAGAATTTACTCACGTTTGCATAATTTTCTTTTTCTGGTAGAGAATGATGGCACTCTATGTTGCTTCTCACTACAAAAATTCACCAAATGACTTGCAATTAATGGCAGATGCTCCGTCACATCACTTGTTTGTATTGCTTGGTACATCATTACCATTCGTCTTTGCTCTTTCTCCTATTATGCTATATGTAATTATGATTGTGAAGCTAATCAATGTTATTTTGTGTGCAGGTCCGGTTGATGAGTCAAAAAATCAGCTCCCGGATATTCTCTGTGTGATTCAGGTTTATTCCAATGCTAATCTCCATTTTCTGAGATGCGTATAAACGCATAATACCTATTTTTGACACCCGTTATCCATGTTGACTATCTATTTTAGTAATCTAAAGCGAGAGAAAACGCTTGGATTTTATGATTTTCTTTAGTAATACCTATAACCTAAATAATTCACGTACTACCTAATTTTCCCAGCTCGAAGCATAATGGCTTACCTTTATTTTTAGAATGGCTTTGAGCAAGCAGTGACCTACAAAATAACTTTGCAGGGAAACTTTAGATAGTTTCCTTATAGGTGCTTGCTTAATTTGACCATCTGATGTAGACAAAGGGGGGGGGGGGGGGGTGGGGTGGAGAAGGGGGGGGGGGGGGGGTCAACCCATGTCCAAAATAATATGAATTTTGGCTTCCCTTGAGTCTACTAGCTAAATCAAAATTGAGCTGAAACTTTAGCTCATTTATGAGCTGGTCTTTAGTTCACTTATTGAACTAAGGGTTAGCTCATTATTAGCTATGATTTTAGCTCATAGTTATCTTTTTATTAAATGTATTTTTATGCTTTTTATGTTTTTAATGTTTTAAGTTATGATGTCTCTTGGAATTCCAAACCGGCTTTTGGAATTCCAAGATTTGCTTTTTCCCATGCGTGGCTCCTTGGCTTCCACCATGGCTTTTTTGTATTTTGTGCTTTTGCCCCTTGGGATTCCGGCCGGCTGCTGGTTTTTCGCGCCTGGCTCCTTTCCGTGACCGTGACTCCTTGGAATCGTGGGGCCTCCTTGGCTCCCGCGGTTGCCCCTTCGGTTCCTTGGCTTGGGTGTGTTTTTCCGTGCAAAGCATTTGGGATTAATGCTTGTGATGTTTAGGTTCTTGTGTTAATTAATGTTAGTGTCTCTTTGTATTCCCTTTCATACCTATATATATGGGGGTATTGCATTGTTTTAAAAAAGTTGAATAAAATGTGATTTTTGGAAAAGCTATAACCTGAGGGTTTGCTTTGGAAATCATGCGGGCTCTTTCCACCCTTCTTTCTCATCCCCTCCGGAAATCCTGCGGGCTCTTTCCAACTTTTCTTCTCGGGCTTCTAACCTATTTCGTCTCTCCGCAAGTGCCACTCCACCTATATCTTTCTTCCAAGTGCAGCAACTTTAGGGTGTCTTTTTATTTTATTTGGAGTCGTTTGTAAGAGTTTAAGTTGTTGAAATCATCATTTGTAGTTTTAATTTCCGCTGCTTAGTCTTATTTAAGTTACCTCTTCTTTTTGAGGTATTTTGTGTCTTCTTTTTTTAGAGGAAGTCAATTTGTCTTTTCGTGATAAAAAAATATAGGGTCCCCTATATTTTTTGGCGCATCACCATCACTCACAATTCATGAATGTAAATCTCGGTAGCTTCGGGTCTAGAAGCTTTGTTTGGGGTAGTTTTTTTGTTGTTTAGCTTTTTAGACCGTAGTTACGCTTCTTTTTGACTACTAGTACTTCATTGTGTTTCAGAAAATTTTATGATGAGAAGCTGCTTTTTACAATCAGATCCACTAGAATGTGATTACTCTAAGAAAATTGATGTCTAATTTTTTTATAACTGAAAAATATTTATAATACCTAAAAAACTCTGCAACTATCTTAAGCTACAACCACTCTAAATGGGGCCCTTTGTAAATGATCACTTTTTGGTACCTAAATAATATAATGCTCAATTATCAAACATCATCTTTTAACCAGCATTTACATCTTGTTCATGTTCTGCCAACAACAACAACAACAACATTAAGTCTTTGTCCCACTATGTGGGGTCGACTACATGAATCCTTTTTCGCCATTGTGTCCGGTTAAAAGTCAAATTCTCATTTAAATATAATAAAGAAAGATCATTTCTAATATGTTCTGCCATTGGAGAGAAATTCTCATACCTTTCACATAACTTCATTTGCTAACTCTGTTATACGGAGATCAGGGATTCCACTATAATTTAATCAGGCTAATTCAAAATATTTAAATAAATTTGTGATGCAGACAACTAGATAGAAAAACCAAAAGGGAGAACACAAGGGCTAGTAGAACTTTTCTCGATTCAAAATTTAGAAAGCCAACACCAAATAAACCTCCAAACAAACGAAAGTTAGACAAAACGAAAATTAAAATTTAAAATAAAACAAGCTACCCTCAGAACAACCGACTAGCGGTCACCTCACATGCAACAAAATAGTAGGTAAAATAAAAGAAGTGCTTAAGGATATACAAACCAAGGGTCCACCACAACTACTAGAGCCAATGTCCACCACAGAACTACTCCGGCAAATGCTACCAAACCGGCCAACCAACACCTCCAATAACTTGAGAAGAAAGATACAAGTGGAGTGGAAACTTGTGGAAAGAAGAATGAGATAAGAAGCCCAAGACGAAATCGAAGAGAGGAGAAGAGAAATGGAATAAGCTCGCAAGCTTTCCCAAGAAGAAACCCTCAGATTTTTAGAGAACTTTGCTCAGCAAACAACAACCTCCAAATGCTTCAAAACATCACACATATATATAGGTGAAAAGAGAAAGCCAAACTGCCCCATCCACCTCCAGCCGAACCAACCAAAAAAAGGGAGCCAAAAGACCAATAGGCAACGCTTGAAACAGCAGCCGAAGGGACCACATGGGGGACATGAACGGGAAACCACATGGAACAGCAACAGCCAGCCATGGGATAGGAGCCAGGCGGAGAAACCAAAAAGCCAACAGAGAGGGAAGAACCATGACACCCATTTATGAGCTGAAAAGGTAGCTGAATGAAATAATAATGAGTTGATTTTAGAAGAAGAACACATCAGCTCACCAAAAGGGGAAGCTAACCCGAGACAACCAAGCCCAAACCGAGAAGCCCAAATCAGCCTAAGAGCCAAGGCACCAAAGTAGCTAGCACACCCAAAGAAATACATGTCCAAAGCACTACCTACTCATGATCATTGGTTGCCTTCCATCATAGGGTAACATAATAAAAAACAAAAAATAAATATAGCATTCATATTACAATAATACTAAAAAAAACTGAAATTTGCATGCATCAATTTTTAGCCAATTAAAGCGTTTCCACTAGCACTATGAGATCGAACTTGTGGTTCAAATATATCAGAATCTATTTTAAGTAGAATAAAATGATGAAATGAGATAGCTTTTGGACAGAAGCACATTTCCTTAAAATTTTCTATGTAAGTTGCAATACTAGTCGCTCCTCAATTAGTCCGCAGTTTTTAAATGAATTAATTTAGTTGGAAATAAAAGTTCTGACCGAATTATTATTTATATATTTTAGCTTAAACGCTTGAAAGAAGTTGCTGTTGTAATAGGTTTTGAGATTTTAAGCTCTTTGTCGAAGAAGTTGGGATCAATGGTTCATAAATGAGGATTTTTTTATTGTCTTTCTTATGTTATGCTATTTGTTTGTTTTATTTCATCAATTGTTCATGTTATTAATTTTAAAATATGCAAAACAGTTAAATCAAACTGCTTTAGTACTTTATTAATTACTGTGTTATACTTTCAAATTGATTTTTCATTTTAACTCAAGCTGTCAAATAATCGGGGTTTTTAATCAAAGTCAAGTTTCTTTACTAGACTTCAATCGAAATCAGACTTCTTTTCTAAAAAAACTTACATGTTATCAACTATAGTTGAGCCTCATTTTCTGGGCTATGAAACAAATGTTTTTTCTTAGCACTCTTCCTAAAGATGTATTGTATTGCCATTTTTTTTTTTTTTTCATATTTTAATTTCTAATATGCATAATATAATAAATTTTTATTCATTTCAACCAGATTATTATATTTCTTAAAAAATAGGACTAAAAATATTGTAATTGATTTATGAGAAAATGATCAAAACGATTCCTTGACCCTTTATGAAAGATCAAAATAATCTCAAACTCTATTAAAGGACTATTTTGATCCCTTCGACTCAACTCTTTAAAGAGGAATCAAAATAGTCCCATCATTGGATTATTTTTATTCCTTTTTATGGATTTGAGATATTCTTAAAGAGGACTCAAAATAGTCAAATCATTAAAGATATGTATGCAGGAATTATTATTTGTGTTCAAACACAAGCTTTGACCAGGTATTTTCCTATTTCGGTTGGATTACATCAAGGATCGGCCTTAAGCCCATATCTTTTTGCTTTAGTCATGGATGTTTTCACTAGATATTTGCAAGAGGATGTTTTTTGGTGCATGCTTTTTGCTGATGATATTCTTCTTGTTTATAAGACTAGAGAGGGAGTTGAAGGTAGACTTTAATTATGGAGGTTAACCTTAGAGTCTAAAGGTTTTTGCCTGAGTAGATCTAAAACTGAATATATGGAGTGTAATTTTAGAGTTGTGACTCTGGACGATCAAGTCATTAATAAGAATACACGTTTTAGATATCTTGGATCTATTGTTTAGAGTAATGGTGAAATAGATGGGGATATTATCAGTAAAATTCAAGTTGGATGGTTGAAGTGGAGGAATGCATCGGGCTTGTTATGCGATAGAAAAGCCCCCCTCAAACTTAAGGGAAAATTCTATAAGATGGTGGTGAGACCTGCAATGCTTTATGGTGCCGAATGTTGGTCATTAAAAGAGAAGCATAATACTAAGTTAAGTGTTGCAGAGATGAGGATGCTTAGGTGGATGAGTAGGTTTACCCTTAGAGATAGGATAGACCGAAATGGTCCTTCAATATAGTTGGGATCATTTTGGTCCTTCATAAAGAGTTAAGGGATTATTTTGGTCATTTTCTCTTTGATTTATAGACTAGATGATGTTGGACTAGCACATAAATGCATAATAATGAAGAATGAGCTATGAAACGGCAGTCCTACTGAGGAATTTGAGAGAAAAAAAAACAAGTAGAAAAAAAAAGAGATTTGCAATCCGTAAGCAATTAATACTAAATCCTCAAAGTTGTGCTGATTCATTGCATATAAAGGAAGTACTAAGCTAGCCAAAATTTGGGCTACAAGAAACTTTTTTCAGCTCATTAAAAATTATGT